AATTTCAGTTCTGAAACAGAGGTGTTTCTTATACAGCTCTCCTCAGGAGGGGTGTTTTTTTGCAGCCAAGCTACAATGAAAACATCCCCTTACACTAGTTTCTCTCTTGCTCTTAACATATGGGAAGGCTCCTGCATCACTTTACTGATGTATGCTCTGATAGTGGAAGGTGATGTAGCTGACTGTAGACTACCAGGAAAGGTAGAGCTCTTCACACTCCCTCCTTAACTGCACAGGAGTCTTCTTGTATCCAAAAGAGGGATACATCATTCTTAACGACTAGGAGTGATACCATGAGCTTTAGAAAAACTCCAGCCAGTGCAACCTCCAGACCATCTCCCTACCAACAGAGGTCACCGTGGACATACCACCAGCAGTGACTGCACTGGTTACCTCCTGCGAATGCAGGACCTCATTTGATGGCTTTTACTCAGCTTTGCACAAGTTATCTGGGGGCTTGAGATCACATCTGTGATGGCGAATCCTGACAGCATTTTGAGGGAACAACAGAAAGATTGTGGAGGAGTTTTCCTAAGAATGAGACCTAGACTGTAATGTTTGCTTCTAAGAGAAAGGAAAGTTAACATGAACCTCAGCCTTTTCTCCAGATATTTCAACTACATATGACATTTCTTCCACCCAGACAAGTCACTTAATACCTGTAATGAAATAATGCAGCTCACTGAGGGGAGGAATTACTATTCTGTGCCCATTGCTTTGTTACGTGGTGTGCTGTCAGAGTCTTCTGGTCTCCTGTGGAAACCAGCTGTATGACCTGAGCTCTGCCTGTATGTGAGTAGGTCTCTGTCCCCCACCTACCTTATGAAAGAGAGCTGCCAGAGTTAATTCTTGTGAAGTACTTCACAATTACTACCTGACAGATGCCTAAATACAGAGCATAGTTAGTATAATGGTGTAACTAAAAGGACCGTAACAGGACCATTTTTGCTTTAAAAATCTCTTCTGTCTCTCAGCACTCTCTGCTTTAATGTTCCCATCTTTTTTCCATTTAATCATCATCTCATACCTTTTGTTTCTTTTCATTGGCCCTTCTGGACAACTGTTTTTGGGAAAGCCTTTTTATATATATCCCCTTTGCTCTCTAATAGATACCATCATCTTTTAAAGAGCAGCCACTCCCTCCCTCAGCTAAGTACTATCTTGGCAGGCAACTGGGGAGGAGGAGTCTTCTTTAAAAGGCTTTGAAATTGTGTTGTTAAAAAATACATAAATAAAGCCACAAACCTTTTAATAGGGCTTTGAACAATCATCCCTTTCATTCCCTTATGTCCTATTGTGCTTCTGGCTTTTTTATTATTTAGTGTGCAAAAAAAAAAAAAAAAAATTCCAAATGTTTTATGTTAAGCCATTAGGAGTTTATTTGGGTTGAAAATAAATAAATAAATGTGGTGCTAGCGGTTGGGACTGTGAACACATGCACAGTTGCCTGGCAGAGACAACCTATAGGAGGCACATCAGAAGGCCAGAATAAGCTTCAGTGGAAGACCAGAACAAAAGCGTCAGCAACGTTTATTTCTGGTTAAGTACTTTTTCATGAACTTGACTATGGGAGTGGTTTACCCAGTTTTTGTCTGTTTCAAATTCACCTCACTGTCCCCACCCCTCTCTGCAGCATCACCCCCAACTGTAACTCATGGTAATTACATGGAAAAGGAGGAAGCATGGGATTTTTAAAATCTTTTGTTTTATTTTTTTAAACCACCTGATGGGAGCATGTGATTAGTTGGTATTCAACATTGCTTCTGGAGTTATTAGTCACCTAACTAAATGCTTTTTGAATGGTCTGCCTGGATTCTTTTATGCATTTAGGTTTGATTTTTAAGTACTGGATATATTTTGTGAATAGCCAGGAATAGCATTTTGTTTCTTTCTTTCTTTCTTTCTTTATTCCTACCCCCTTCTACTTTTGTTTGCCAACTCTGCCTGTCATCCACAGAGAATTCTGCAGCAGGCTGGTGATTGCAGCTAGGGCTCCTCTGTGTGCATAATTAGCATCAGTCTTGCTTGGTCTCATTTCCCTGGTGGGGCTGCTGGGGAGAGAGAGAAGAGTCTTTGCCATTAAATGCATTATTAGGTTCACATCTTAGCTCCCATGTGACCTACATTTTGAAAATAAACATCAAAACTTAAACTTTCTAAACCTCTTTCTCCATGAGATTGAAGTATGTGGTAATTTTTGGAAAGCACACATATAGACTGTTGTTGGTATTGTTAAAGATGTAATAGATTGCAAGAGGTAGATAGGAGGAACTTCTGAGAATCTGAGCTTGACTTTGCTGTCTCAGTTTTGAGACTCTTAAATAAAACAATCTGATACTCATTGTTAAGTCAAATGGAGCTACTGACAGTCCAGACCTTAGGAAATCAAGGGAGAGTCATCCATCTCCAATTGGGCTCCAAAGGACAGTGCTTATTGGGTACCCTTTAATGAGTACCATTTTATGTGTGGGACATGGAATGCCAAGTTGCAAATGACAAAAAGAGTTTCCAGCACAGATAACCTCAGGTATATCAAAGCCACCAAAGCAGAAATGTACCCACAGCACAAAAAACAGAGGACATGAAACTGTCGCCATAACACAGTGCCATTTTCACTCTTTGCTCTTTTTGCAGTGGTGTTGCTGATTTAGGCTTGTATGGAAAAGGAGTATGATCTGAACGCAATTTTAAATGCTTGATTCCTTTAACTCACGTAGTTTGGTAGGTTTCCCCATAAAAGCAAGGTATACCTTTCAAAATCTACTTACAGGATCAGTAATAGAGAAGAGAAAATCAGTCAGATATTCGGACTTAGGAGGCCTAATGATTTGTGGACCTTGCTCTCATGTACAGCCTTCTGCATGCTGGTACTGACCTATTCAAAAATAGGTACCAGAGCTCAGAAGAGGCTGAAGAGGAAAAGCTAACTGAGGTCTTCTCAGTCCATAAAATGGGGATTATAAGCTTTCTAACCTCATGGTGATACTGTGAAAATAACTAACCTACTGTATACTGCAGTATTTTAATAGGTAGGTATGTGTTCTTGAGATACAGTTAATTAAGCGGATGAGTAAGGTTATTGGGAAAGAGGAAGAATATATGTACACTGTTCTATAATGTTTTACGAATTTCAGTGAGATGAGAAGACCTTATAATGTAAACTTGGAATAAAAATAAATATACAAAAAAACAGTAGACAACTTTCTATTGGCTCCAGGGCTTTTTGAAGTTTCCATTAAAAAACAAGAGCAACTGTTGTAGTGTCTTCAGCTGGCATGAAGAAGTGAAGGTTCATGTGATCTCTGTAATTGATTACCTTTGAAAACAGTACAGATTGACAAGGCACGACTGCATACTCTGACCAAAGACCAGGTATTTGTTGTGTACTGAGGAACAATCGCATGCGTTTTAAAAATCCTGAAGGATACTTTGACAATTCTACTTGCAAGATCATTCACCATACATATTTCAAAGCCATTATTTTCAAGTGTTGATAAAAGAAATGTAGCTAGGTAGTTTGAGGTTTTATGTATTTCTAGAAAGCTTTTACCTTTTAAAAAGCTATACTTTTGTCATCCAATTATTGGTCATGAATGATTCTGTTCAAGTATATCAGCAGTTGAATGTCCTTTATGTCATACCTAGAATGATCCTTATTCCTGGAATAAAGATTTGGAAAAACTTATGTCAAAAACCTGTAAAGGCTTATAAAGAAAGGTATTTCACTTGGGATGAGACATTTACGCTGCAAAACCAGGTCCCACAAAAGGAAAAGTAGACTAATGTTTATTTTGCAACATAATGTCACCATGTTCCATGTTGTCCTCTCACAAACATACACAACAGGTGTTTATAACAACTGTCTTTTAGACCTCTGAAAGCCTAAGGAAAAATATTTACTAAGAAGTAGTTAAAAAAAATGCAATCATGGCAAGGACTGCCATGTAGATAAGAAAGAAGGATGGTTTGGATTGGGTGGCAGAAAGAGGATTGCAATGCTGGTCTGACAGTTAAACAATGAAATTACAAAGAGAATAATGAGGACAATTTTTTCATCTTTCCATATCTGGAAATAGTTATTGTCTGTGATTTATTTCAATTATAAAGAAAAGCACCAAAGTGCAGGCCAGTGGCCAGTACAGGAAGTGTTGAGTCCTTAAGGTAATTCTCTTTCTATAGAGACCAGAAGAAATTTTACTTCTTTGCCAAAATCTGGTTTTGTGACTAGTGGGGTAAGAGTTTTCAAAGAATAGATAGGTTTAAAATAATGAAAGTGGGTGAAGAGGGTTTATGATTTAGGAATATTGAAATTACTGAACTGAAATTCAAAATCTGAAATTCCTCTGATTTTTAGGGCAATCCCAAATTACTTTAAGAATTCAGCTGCATAATGAGGCAAAGTCATAAAGCTGGGTCAGAAACCTCACTTTGAGTTTTGGAAATACCAAACACTTGAAACTTGGCTGTGGCTTTTATAACTGAGGCCTATTTCTATAACGAGCCAAAGCAAAAGACTTTCAACAGGTGTTTTGCTTTTGCTGGTTGTGAAATAGGGTAAACCAACTAGTTTCTTTATAGGTTTCTGTGATTGGTCTGGAAACTCTGAATTAGCTTCTGCTGCTTAACCTGGCTCCAGGGATCCAAATCTAGATCCTGCAAAGTTTATAGTGAGGAAGATATTCTGCAAGTACTAGAGCAAATGCACCCAATAGTCTAAGCAAGACTGGAGTTCTAAGGGGACAAAGCAAATATAGTTTAATGTTAAGACAGAGAAAAAGTAACACCCGCCTCCTCCTCTGTGCACACACACAACTTGTTTACAAAAGTGCCTTGTAGTGACTGCTGGTGGTGTCACTCCGTCCCATGCCCCAGAGCTATCACCGGGCCTCATGGGAGATGTGACTACAGCATCGGACATGGGACTGTTTGTTCACTCACTTTCTGTGAAGAGAGTTTTGAACTGTGTTTTGAATAGACAGCATTTTCTTTGTGTGGTTGGTAAATAACACAGAGCAAAGTTAGTCAGCAAGTTGCATAGCTTCTGCATTCTGATTCTTTGGAGCCCTTTTGTACCAAGCTTGACAGGATGTTTTTAACAGAATGTGACCTCACTGGGATACCAGAGGTAAGGAAAAAAGTTATTTGGGCTGTTGTGGAATATTTTGCACAGAGTTGATCAAAAGTATTGCTTTAAAATGCCTCTTGGAAAGAAGGTGGTTTCACTGTGATCCAGTCAACACCTTGTTCAGTGAAAATCAATGTCTTTCACTCTGTAAGTTATAGGAAGTCTTAATAAGATTTTCTATTTCCCACTTACGGAAAAAGATGCTGATTTACAAATCTCAGAACGATTATGTACTTGCTCTAACGTGTTAAACAAAGGCCCGGTTCTAGTTACAGAATGCCAAAAAGTTTTCTTTCTAACACAGAACCGAATAAGCAAGTCAGATCCAGTTGTTCACCCAAGTCCTAGAAGCAGCGGTGGGAGAATTGGAGTGGTGGCAAATCCAGCAACACCAGGCGACAGTGACCTTCTGGATACCCGTTCTCCATCACTTGGTAAAGGTAAGAAGGAAAAAAACCACCCAAACTCGTATTAACGTGTTTTCTGAGTAAGATCTTGTGTGGGTTTTCATCCCAGGCATTAAAGCAGGGCTACTGCTTGCAGTTTACCTGGAGGTAGAGCAAAAGGGGCTGTAGTACCCCGGGGGATGCGGGGCTGTGCGGGCACCCCCTCTCCTCCCTCTGCTGGTCAGCTCTGGGGAAACGTGGCTACAGACAGCAGGGAGGACCCGGCACCTTTCTGCTGCTATGGGGGAAAGATCTTCTTGCTATCAGTTCTTCAGGGTTTCTTTAGTGTGTTGCTCGTGGATCTAAGCACGGACAGCATTAGGATGTAGTGATGGAAGGTTCGGGGGTGGTAAGAGAAGAGAGAGAGCTCTGCGTGTTCAGCAAGCCAGGGAGAGATGATTTTTTTACAAAAACCCACACAGATGTAGTTCAGGTATTTATTTATACAGTATAAAAATGTTACAGATTCATGCTGAATGATCTGATTTGTTTATATTCATGATCCACAGAGCTTTTTATGAAAAAAAATAAAAGAAAAAGACGTTATTACACAAAATAGCTTCATGAATAATAGGCATCTTGCTATTCTGAAATTGAATTAAAAATACGTGTTCTGCTTTACTATGTATACCAACAGAACAACAAAGCTTCATTGTTGTTCTGGTCAACAATTGTTGTTATTTTCTAGCCAGTACAGGTGACTTACAAAACAAAAAAAAATCTGTTTGGAGTCACTGATAGAAGAGTGAGAGCAAATTAAGTTCTCACGATATATAAAACTGTTATTCATACTTAAAGATTTGCATGACAAAGAATTCTAAAAATAGACCTTTAAAACTGGAACATTTTGAGTGCTGCTGATAATGAAAGTGTTCTTTGGTAAATGAGGATGGAAAAGTTTGCTCATTTGCTTATGAACTAACTAGAGTTGCTCCTTACTGTAAGGCACATAAAGAACTAGAGATTTGGTTTTTTCTTGTGGTCAGTTAGAAAGTGGCTGGGTTGAACTTCATTTAGTAATATAAAAGATACAATGAGCGTGTCACTGCTCCCAGTAAGACAGGGTAGTGACTTTAGTTTGACAAAGCATTTACAGTAATACTTTTATAATGTCATACTTGCTACTGTACTTTGATCCACTGGCACGTGGTAGATAAGCTGCCAGCTCTGTTGTAATTAGAGCAAATATGTTTTCTGAAGAAGCTTCTAGAGACAGGCATGTTCTCTGAAGTAGAAGTCTGTCAAATGGGGATGACTGAGGATGATGAATTTATATTCACAACTTTGGTATTTGTGTTGCAGTAATACTTTAGGTCCTCATCATGAGTCAGATGATGGGTATTGTACAGTACAAAACCAGATTTTGTATGCCAAACAGCTAATGATGCAAACATGAGGCAGCAGTTGAACAAAATAAATGCGATAAATTATTCAGTCATAAAAAATACACCCAAAGTGTTAAGATGGAGTTTTCTACAGCTGTATATGTATTATTAGGGTTTTTCTAAATGATGATTTTTCATAGTGTCTCACACACTACAGGTAAACTGGTCCCAAGAGTTGGAAGCTTGATCGCTTTTTAATCTTCGGTCAGGGAGAAGTTGGCAGGATGGGATATAGTTTACTTTATCCCTGAATTCGAACAAGAGAGGGCAAAAGTTCAATAAAAGTAAGCTGTTTAATATTTATGAGAGCTACCACGGATGAACCAGTAGAGGTCAGCACAGAGTGCTGAAATGAAAGTAGAGTGCCAACGCTTTGTGTATACATGCTCTACTTTCCATCTTAAACTTTTCCTTTAAAATGTGGTAAAGGCTTACGGTGGCTTACAGTCAGTATTCCTGCTCTCTTTGAAAGATAGATTAAAAATACTTGGGATAATACAATGACAACAGACTGCTTAAACAAAGTCATTTAAGCAACAACACACATTTTGTAGCACATAATATCTCACAGAGAGATGCTGGAAACCTTATTTTGTGGAATCATTATTGAAACCAATGTGTAATACTTATTAAATATATTGCAGTGACAAATGCGTCTAGCTGATGGTTATGTTGAAAAAAAAATAGGAGAAAGAGGGTAACTTCTAGGAACCAAGTTTTCACACACTTGAAGATAAAGTTACAAAATATTTTTTTCCCTTTTAAGTATCAAATTTGGATAATTATCATTAAGTGTTGTTCTAAAGGACTTTTCTTTGTGTATATACACGTATATACAGAGAGAGAGAGGGAGAGGCAGAGAGACTCTGTATATAAAGTTGAATTATCTTTTGTTTCACTTTTTAAAGCCATTGTTTGCTCGTGGTTTCCTTTTGTGATTTAAAGCAAGGAACAGAATCACCGCGTATAGTCTGTGCATGAAAAGATTCTTAACGTATATTAGCTGCAAAAGCTCATCTCTGAAAAGCTTCTGTTCAAGCTGCTTTCTGTGGATCTAGAAAGAGCAATCTGCCTGTCCCCATTCTCTTTCCTTGCACTTTGACTAAGTACTTTGAAAACTACCTTGTTATTAAATTGTAATTGTTGAATATTAAAGAATTGACAAAAAATTTATCACCAGGTAAAGATGGTATGTTCTATTTTGATTTCAAAACTGACTTACATCTGCTGTCTATGAGCTCAGGGAGAAATTTCCCGGTATATTCAGAGAGAATAGTACTATACAAACGGGAAAAATTTTTGAAAATCCTCTTCACTTGTTCTGCTTACCTTTCATGCTTCTCTTTAAATTGATTATTAGGAAACCGTACGTTGGAAACCTTACTTTCTTTTTATGTGCTTTATCATGCACATTAAAGTGACAAGTACTAAACAGAGATGCTGCAAGTCTTTCTCACTTGTGTTGTGTGCCATTAGAGTCAGATGGTGTAAGTGTGCGAGTGCCATTCAGAGGGCTGTAGGAGAGGATTAATACAGGGGGGGAGGATTCCCTGGTAAGTGAAACAGCTATCAAGGGTATAAACTGGGATAGGAAGGAGACAGAGATGTCATAAACTGCTGTTGCGTATCTGACCTGTGATGTGTTTTTTCCATGCTTTTGTTGGTGTAGCATTGCATCACAGATCTTGCAGAAGATCTCCCTTTACAGGTGTATTGTAAAATCCTGGTTCTGGGGAAGTCAGTGGAAGTTCTGATGTTTCAGTCAGTGGAGAGACAAGGAGCTTGTTTCAACATTTTTTTCCCTGAGGCAAAGGAAACTTAGAAATAACCTAATTTCTTTCATAACACAGAGTCCAATCTAACAGTGTGGCACACATGTGATAACACATTAAATGACAATTTTCATTTTGAGCCTAGGTTTCTTACCAAAGGCTTGGATTCAATTCCATTCCATTTGGTTCAGTTCTTCATTTAAACAGAAGTGAAGAAACAACTTCTAGGACTGATTTCACTCATGGCTTTGATTGTGTTTTCAGAAAATAAGCTTGAATCCAGAAGTCAAACCCACTTTCTTTCCCCAGCTAAACTTCTGATGTCCACACCATTTCGGTGTACATATTTTACTGTTGCCTTCTTTAAAACTCTTGTTTTTGTTGGATAAAAAGTGTTTTGCTGAGCCACGGTGGAAGTACTCATTTACAGTAACTAATATTCTTCATTAGTTGTTGTTCTTCAGAAAGAGCCCCTCTCATCAAATGCCTTTCCTGAAAAGTATTGCAAAGCCTGAAGTTAAGGTGGTTCTTACAATACTCAATGCTCTTGTTTTAAGCATTTAATGTTGAAAGTCCACAAGTCCAGTATTTCTATTGCTTCAATTAAGTTTGTTTACATGTTAAATTTCATGAACATCTGGTCTGCTTTTTTGCTGTAACATATGGGATATAAACCCCCAAAATTTAGAGACCAAAATAATGTTGCTGGAAATGTGTAGTTCAGTCAACTATAATGTTATGCTCAAAGTTTGCTATTTTTATCTCTATCCAGACCAAAGATAGAAGATTACAGCAGAGCTGTTCATGATTAAGGAACAGAAGGTCTATCTTATCACTGAAGTTCTCAGTCTCTTGGTAGATTAATGTTTGATATTTTATTGATTGTGGTTATTACATTCATACATTCCTACAGGTATAGTAATACTTTATTATCATTTTGTCCCTTGTTTCTGATGCCTTTTATTTATTTATTTGCTGGCTTTTAAAAATTCTTCCCTGCAAAGTAGCTATGCATAGTTAAATTATCCTATCTATATAGCTGGTGTTTATGTTTGTTTGTTTATGTATGTTTGAGTCAGGGATAAATTTTTACATTCTTAGTGTATGTGTGTACAGGGGTGACTTCCAACATGTTTGCATTACCTGTTATGGAAATATCTGTCATTTAACTATAAAGATGTGTTATCTTCAAGAACGTATCAAAAAATTGTGGCCTTGTGTCCAGATGGAAATAGTACTAATTCAGTCAGTGGTGACCAGTAATCTAGATAGATGCACTAGAGAAAATCTCTTTATGTAAATGAGGAAGCCATGGCATTTGCACCAGAAATTGAGTTAATTAAGGTTCCATACCTGCATTTACATTATCAATCTGCAGATTGAAAAAATTACCTAAAATAAATTAGAGCCAACAAATTAAAAGATAAATGTAGCCAAATAAATTTTCACTTCAAACATTCCACAGAGAGAAAAAAAAAAAAAAAAAGATTTTTCACCCATTTCAGGAGTAAGTTGGAATAATTCTGGGAAATGTACTCAATATCTCAAGAAAACATCAGTACAGTGGTTTCAGGTTTGATGATTCTACCATTTAATCAAACATTCCATGGAGGTAACTTGGCTTCTGAGGTACTTAAGGGATCAGAAATGATACTTCTCTTGAACTATGTTAGTATGTTAGTATAGCTGGGTTTGGATTTTTTCACTTTATCCTGGAATTCTATTAGGAATTTGTTGCTTGTCCTTTTCATTGTGTATCTCTAGTCAATACTAGGCTTTTTATTTCCTCACTTTCTTATATGTTAAGAATAAACTCTAGACTGCAGTCTCTCCTTAA